TCAATTTTATAATCAGAAAAATCTATTTTCCTCTGTAATATTGAAGTGAGTTGACCTATTATTAAAATTATAGTTAAGAAAATTATCCAAAGCTCCAAATATGCTTTTTATATTTTAATTTTAAAGTAAGTTATAACGAATTAAAAATTGTAAAATCTAAAATTTTCATTAATCATGATAAATAATGTTCTTTTTATTTTAAATTTGATTATATTATGTTAATTCATAATAATTTTAAAAATAAAAGATAAAAATATATTATTCTGAACGTAAAGTTGTTATTGTTATGTGTTAGTAAAATAAAAACATAAAACGTTATATAGGTACTTCGGCGACATCTTCTTAAGACTACAACTTTTAATTATGTCTATTAATGAACCAAAAAATTTAATAATTATAAATGCAAATATATATCTTTAAATAAATGTGAATTTTGCACAAAAATGCACTTATCTGCAATAATTGTTTGACATTCGATAATAGTGTAAAAAGCGTATTATAGGATAATAGGTAGCTATATACTCGTATTCTTATTAAAAAAGTGCTATAACATAATATTACATAATATTCATACATTTTTAATATTATCAATTTTTTTTTCGCTAATATAATTTATAAGTATTTTAATAGTAATTAATTTATCTATATCTTTATTACCAATTAATTATAATTTCATTAAAGTCGTTGTATTTTAAGTTAGCCGTACTAGAAAATAGAAATACAATTGATCCATTATAATATACAGACCTCAAAAACTATCTTTATATTTCAAAGCGCTATAAAAAAAGGATTATTAATACTCAATATAATAAATATACAACAATATTCCTATTATTTTTACAATGAAAAATATTTTAATGTAAAAATACTATAAAAGAATGTCACGCGTAATATAATATGTACATGTATAAATGTATAATGTATTTATCTCTGTATTTTGTTTTTCGCAACATTTCAATTAGATTTATCTAATGATTATATTCAAATAGTTATATTAATTGTATTGAATATTTAATATCATGTGTTAAAAATGAGCTTTAAGTTATTATTCTGGAGGTTTTTAATAAAATAATATAATTATAGATAAATGATACATTCATATCAACTACACGTCAATGTTTGACTTGTGGGGAGGGGAGTATCTCAACTCTATTATTAGGAATATCTTTATTCTTGGAGTTTATCAAATGAAGATAAATAAAAAAAAAAAAAAATGTTTGTTACAATGTTTAATAAATTTTGTTGATTCTGTTGAAAGGCATCTAGCATATCCTATGGTGTTATCTTAAAATTTATACGTATTTTGTTATAATTTGAATTCGGGACTGATTTTAGATAAAAATTACATATTATATACATCTAGGAAAATAGAATATTTTAAATAAAAAAATAATTAACTTTGTAAATTATTATTAAAGCTAAATTTAGTAATCGATTCAATTAAAATAAATTATTGTACCTATATAGCTTAACTTTTTGTAAAAATCTACCACCTACGTACACTATAGTTGAAACATTATAAAGTAAATACCTATAATAATTTATAAAATATTTGTTGCTTTGTTATAATATAATGTAGGTATTATAAAGATTTTTTTATAATGGGAGAATCCCTCCACAGTTAGGTATTATTTATTATAATTAGTTACATCTATAATATAGGTACTATAGATAGATATATTTATTTGAATTTTAAAAATGTAATTAAAATATTATTGAAATTATCAACTTATATGTAAACAACTTTGATAGATTTTCTATAGTAATTAATAGCCATTATGTTATTATAAGTCTGTTTATAAGATTGGGGTTAGAATTATATATAGTGTTTTCCGTAATGTTTCATATGCCGAATTTATTATCGGCTGTAATATGAGTCTTATTCGTTAGCGTATTCTTCCATGTAAACTATAATATATATTTATAAAAAATTACGGTATAGACGTGTCTTCTGTCACTTATTTAGCCTAACCCTAAGTCATAATATTAATATTTTTAGTGATAATTATAAAATACTTTAATTTGTACTGTTATTTTTTTTATTAATTAAATTACCATAAAATACCTAAAGTAAAATAAAACAATTTCTAAATTCTAAACAGAAATTTGTTAAAATGATAAAATGAATGCAAGAACTAAAATGTTATTGTAATTTTCAATCTATAAAATTATGACTCAATATATAAGTTTATGGTTATGACAAATTTTTAACAAAATTGCATTTTTTTTCTTTCATTTAATGTAACGTGTGTATGGATAACAATAACAATTGTTTGATTTAATACCTATATACGTGATTATACATCAAATTACAAAATTATATACAGGAATACGATCGAACTACTATGGTTGACGATAGATTTGAAAAATTTATTGCTGTATTAGCTCATTATAATTACAATGACTCAGTAAATAGGCTGTTGTGTGTGGTGTAAATGAAAAAAAATCAATGATATTGCAGTAGACACTGGAAATTATTAATATTGTGAGTAAAAGAACAAAATATTGATATTAAATAATGAGTATTTTTTTAAAATAATTTTCTATTATTTGACGATTTATTATTGAAATAATTAAATTATCATAGATAGAGAAGTATTTATTATTGTGGTTATTCTTAGCTAAACAAATGAATATAATATTTACGTTTGACAAGTTGTACAAGTTATGTATAGTATATATATATATTATATATATTGTAAGTTTATAGTATAATATTTTTTAATTAGACATTTAAATCTATTAATAGACATAAAACAGTTGAGTTTTATAAAAAGTACTCAAAATTTGCTATTACAATTTTTTTATTATTTAATATTAATTTGCTGCAAATTTCGTTTCTATAATTTTAGCCCTATCTAGTATCACACAACGAAACTACATACTAGCTCTTGTGGTGTTTATTGATTGCATATTCTTGTCGCCGGACACAGTGCAGCATCCTGGTTTCATTTTTTTTTTTCATGCTACCTGTTTCAAATTTTTGTAAAACGCCCATTATTTCAATATTGTAGTTTTTGTTTTGTTTGTTGTGTCGTGTTAATTGAATTTTTTGAATGCATCGATTAAATCAATACACTTAATTTATTCATATCGTGCAAACAAACATTTATGCCGTTATTTCCTGTTTGTATGGTAGTGTAAAACCTTTCGGAAGCTGTTGATCAATTATATTAATCTGTGTGTTTCTCAAGAAAGTAGGCATTGATTGGCACCCGTGAGAAAGAATCAGCGCGAAAAAGGAAGCGCGTGCCCGTGGCGAAAGTAGTCGAAGGTTGTCGAATGATAATATACTTAGGTATAGTATTGTATTATTTTTTCATTAAGTTCATTCGTATATAAAGTAGTCCGTTTCTTTAAACGGATACTAGTGTAGTTTTAGGTTCTCGACAGTTTCTTTACTTTCTTGGAGTGTGCCTTAAATTATTTTTATTTACAATTTCTATAAGGTATTAAAAATCTGATAATTATAAATAAGATAATTAAACTAATGTATGAACTCGTGTGCATATATTTTAGACGACTATTAACAGACAAGTAAGTTTTTAAAATTATCATTAATAATATCATGAATATTTTATGTACACATTATTTATGATTTAAAAATTATATCTTATTTTATCAAAAAAGTATGAAATATTTTTAGAGATATTCGGCTTATTTTTGATATTTTATGAAAAACCAAAATATTATTATTAACATTTTCATATTTTTAAATAAAATATAATATAAATTAACATTGAGAAATTTTTAAGTTCCTATGATATGTCTGTAGTTTTATATTTCAAATATTTACACTTGCCTATTAGTCTATACTTATAACTTATTTATTTTATGATATTTGTGGATTCAAATTTATAGTTTTATTTTAGTAATTAGCAATTATAAATTATGATTTTTTCTTTTTGTGTATGTTTATTATTATTTTAATCATATATTTAAAAACAATATTTTATTTATTTGAATTTACTTAAATTAAAATGCTATTGAATAATGTTGTTTAAAAACTTGAAACTTTGTTTATTATTTTAATTTTATTACACAGTATTGTTTCGTATATGGTTAGCGTAAAATTAAACAAATAATGGATTAGTAAGTTAAAAAATATAATTTTTATTTTCGCTTGTTTTACTAAAATACATTTTTATTTAAAATTTTTGATCAAGGACATGTGTGTATGTGTACGTAGAAATGTAAAATTATAAATAGTAATACTTGTGAGGTTTCAGGGTCAAAAAAAATATTTGATTCTTGAAGTTTCTTGAGAACCATTTTTTGTAAGATCTTAGCTAATTTTTGGTAAATTTATCACTGTTTAGAATCTTTTTGCAAATGTAATGGTGTATCAATGGTTTTTAATTGAAAACATTCGCAGCTATAAGCCTTTGGTTTACTTTAGTTCTGTATTATGTTTTGTAATTTAAGAAACTAAATTTAGCTACTCAATGGTTTGATATTGAATAAAAAGGTTAGTGTTACCTGTATATGAATTAAAAAAAAAAAAAAAAAAAAATCATATTCATTAACCTTTTTAATATCTATGATAACACATTAATAGAATTACAATCTAGAGTGAAACATAAATAGATAATGGAATTTATTAATAAATAATTACGTTCAAATACATTTTTCAACGTTCAAATTAATTACTTTTTTTAAAAAGTACAAGTTACAATTTATGTTGTTAAATTTATAAGTTGCTGTGAGGCACTTCTATAGGTTTTTAATATTCTATAAAAAAATTGCAAGCTATAAATACATTCTATAAATATAAATTTTTTTAAAATTTTTTTAACAAGTACCACTACTCAATAATCTATTATGATGGTATATTAATCATTTTTAAGTTCATCGATTTAGTTAAATTTAAAATTTTACTATACATATTATTTCAAATATGTATTTTTTTTTTTTAGATGACGGTTTATGATAACTACGAAAACAACATAAAATCAATTAAAATGTATGTTTTATACATGGAAATTAATTGTTGGATAAATTACAAAACGGGATTTTTATAAATTGAAAATAAAATCATGATGACGAATATTTCTCCTACAAATAAAATATGCAAAGAAGGATCTCCGCTCAGACCATCTAATGATGATTTAGAGGTTGGAAACACAAAAGGAAATGAAGTAACAAACAATGGATATTTCGGGAGACAGTATCAAAAAGCACTTTTACCCGATGTGCGGATTTCATCAGTTGACGAACGACCATCCAAGAGCAAATTTCGTGTTCGCAACGTTAGCCCTATACAAGTGCCTAGACATACAACAAGCTCTATGTGTTATCGAATATTGGTTCCTGAAACAAATACAGAAAAATTAGTACTTTTCGTTTGTTTAACTGTGTTTTTCACCTTACTCGCCTCGTTGGTATATTTTTTCATGAATATAGATTGCATATTTGGAGTTAAAGATCAAAAATGTAAAAGTTAGTATACATGTTACAATTAATTAACTTAATTCTTTAATACACAAATGAAAAAAAATAAAAACTAATAAATTAAGTTATTTTTACCAGTGAAATATATACCATCATTTATCAAAATAAATTGTTTCTAATTCTAATTCCAAATTCTCAATGTTTTTTAAAATTAAGATTTAGTATGTATGTTTACAATTTATTAGTTTTTATTATGATGTGATGATTACTACTTCAAAATTTATCATGGTAAAAAGCCTTACTGATTCAACCCCTATAATCGATTCTATAATAGTATGAAACATTTTTATATTTTATTTATAGTATTCAAACAGTTTTAACGGAAGTAAATAAAATAACCTTCAACTATAATTCAGCGTTAAAAATAATTATCCCCCGATTCGTATTTATAATGTATTACTATATATGATATTAAGAAACCTTGCTTCCAGGCTCCAGTGTCAAAAATTACAAAAGCATAACCACAAATAGCTATAAACTATAAGGTTATACTGATACATATCTATAAACTATTAAATAAAAACAGACAATATTGACAATTATTCGATAAAACATGTATCAAGTACATAAAGTGAACATTATTTGTCAAAATCTTTCATAATATTATGACTTGTACAGCTTTTAGTCATTAAAAATGCCTATAGGACATTAATGCGACCGGTTTTAATTGACCTTGACACTAATAATATTAACAATCATTAATCAATTTTCAATAACAACGACATCTTACACTAGTTATTATTATTATTTAAATAATATAAATAATATTTATTATAAATGCTGTGTATTATTGTTTAATTATTCTAGGTAACTGGTTCTCAAACAATAAACCTAATATATGTATGAAAGAAGAATGCGTTAAAACAGGTAAAAATAATATAAAATGCGTAGTTCATTAGATAAATCGTATATTTAATTTGATCATTTAAGAAAAGAAAAAGGAATTAAAAAGAAATAGCGTAATTAGTTTTTCTTATAACGGTATAATTGGTATTAGCAATTGTGTCATATATATCAATTATATTATGTACCTATATCGCATAATCTTTAAAGTTTTTTTAAATTTATTGAGTTAGTATATTAACAAACTTTAATTTATAATTTATATGCAATTAAATTATATTATTTCTGACATACTTTTAAATAGCTTAAATTATTTAAATTTTCAAAGTTAATTAGTGAAAAGATTTATTTTTATTTCAAGTATAATTTAATATATTTTAATAAAATTAATTACACAATGTATATTTTAAGAGATTTAATTATGGAAATTGATTAATTTAATTTTTATATCACTCAATTAAATATTATTAATACATTTAATAGATTTGTTTTAAAAAAAATTAAACCAAGTATAATGTGTAGATTAAAGAATTTTAATATTTTACAGTTGCTATCTTACGTTTTTACTTCTTCGATTAAAATTTAACAATAAAATTAAACATATGTAAATAAAGTTATAGTATCTCAAGAATTTTTATTTTTCTGGGATAATTTTTTTTTAGATTTATGAATAATTAAAGGTAAGTAATAATACAATTAGTACTATGCCAATTAAGGTCTAAAATAAATAACTATGATGTAGATAATTACAAATTTACTCTACCATGAAATTAAAATGTTACATATTTTTATGTATTATAATTTATAAATTTAAAAATAAGTATATTTAAGTGGAAACTGTGATATTATAATATAAAATAATTTCCATACATAATAATAGTATCTAATAATAGTAAAGGAGTTCATTTTTTTGTGTATACGGTAATGAAATAATATTGTGTCCATTTTAAAAGTCTAAATACCGTGATAATATACCTACATTGCGGCACTCATAGTTATGTTACATTACTGCTTTTGCATAAAGTATAATATATAGTAATTAATAATGATAAATACTTTAATACTAAAGATGTATTATAAATAAATTAATGTGTGTAGCTTAATTGATCACATTTTACCTACCTGATATGAAATTCAACATCTATACAAAAATATATAATTTATATTGAATTGTGTTAATTTTATTTAAATATACAGCGATAAGAAAAAAATAACTTTTAAAATATTTTTATTTTAAAGAAGACCTAATTTCATGTTATTATCTTAATGTAAAGTACAATATTTTATTTTATTATTTGTTATACTACATTATTATTTTTTATATTATATATTTTATAGTGCATAAATATGAGATATAATTTTTTTTTATTTATCAATATATATTTTTATAGCTGCTTCATTATTGTCAGCAATGGATCCAACTGCAAATCCTTGTGAAGATTTTTATCAATATGCCTGTGGCACCTGGGATAAAAGGCATTTAATTCCTGAAGATAAAAGCAGTATCAACACATTTGAAGTGCTTGCTGATCGATTACAAGTTATATTAAAAGGTTAGTTTTTCATATAAAATCAATTAATTTTTAATATATAAATTAAGCATTGTACAAAAGAGATTACTTAGTCCTAATGAAATTTGAAAGTCTGTACTAAATATACAAAATGATTCATAAAGTATAATCACCCTTTTTTTTTTTTTTTGATTATGCATTAATTCAGATTGTGATTTTTGGAATTTCAATTATGGTAAAGACCATATTTTCAAATACTTCGATTTTATATATCATTGTTTTTGAATTGTACAAAGTTATTTTGAATTCTGATTACAGCAATGAACAGCAAATGATCTGGTTTTACAATAATATGTATTTTTGTTGATTTTTTTTTGTATTATCACATTTTGGAGTAGCAAAAATTCTTCAATGATTGAGAGTGGTTTTAGATGAGAAATTGAATCTAGTTAGTATTTTGATTAGTTTAAAAACAAATACCAGTGCTTTCTAACACAAACGGGGTAACCAGACAAAAAATTAAAAAAAAGTCAAATTTTTATAAAATACTAGCTTTTTACAAATTGATTTTATTATCTTATTATAATTCAATAACAAATAACCGTGGATTTATTTATTTTTAAACAGATAAAAATCCTTTAGAATAATAGTACAGTAATAAGTGATATAATTTTATGATAAATAATATTTAGACAGTAAAAACATACATAGAAATTATATATTTAAAAAACACCGAAAAAAAAATATTATTATCAAAAATAAAAAATATATGCCAATAGAAAATAATAAATTAACAAATTATTGACATTAGAACTTAATGCTACATAAATAATGTGCTTAAAAACATGGCGTGGTATAAATAAAAAATCAATATGATTAATATTATATTGTTAGCTAAAGCGAGAATTCTCAGAAAAAAACTATGTCAAACTATAGCTGTTATTAAAAAATAGAACGAAAAAGTTTTTGACCTTTTTTTTCTTGGATAACCGACAGCGAAAGACGATCTATGTGAACAATACTATTCCTCTGCTGCAATCATTTATTGTAGTATACAATTCAATACATAATATTATATAATAAAAGTTTTTGACTTTGTACTATGATTATTAAAGCTAAAATCAATCATGACCATAGAAAGTAATTTATAGGAATCTATATTACTATTTAGTAAATAAATCAAACAAGAACATCAAAATAAATCTGAAAATTTTCTTCTTAATTTGTATAAAAACATCCCTAAATGGTTAGTCTGTAAGTGATATAAGTTTCAGCTAATAGAAAAATTAAATTTATTATAAATTAATTTTAGGAATTTATACTGTACATTTTCTGCCTGTTAATATAATGAGTATAATTTTGTGACCAAACTGTAGAACCAAATTCTAAATTGAATAATTATGTAGAATAGGTTCAGAAGGCGAGTAAAAGTTATAATACTACATTGACATTATTGATATTTAATGGTAAGCAATTTTGTTTACTCTAGCTAACAAGCTTGTACAGATTGTACTATTGGTGTAATGCGTCAGCAAGAGATTCAACAGGTGAAAATATTTTAGAAACATCAGAGAATAATAATAAATGTATTGAAGAATTTAAAATAGTGGGTAAACTATTAATAAATAAAAGAGGACCTAAGTAAGGATTTCGTGATACACCAGAACTCGCAATAAAATAAAATGAAATAATTTTACTGCTTCAGTAAGATAAGTAAGGTATGATTCTATCTTGAAACCAAATATAGTGAATTTCACGAGAAATAATTTGTGATTAACCTATCGGACGCTTTTTGGAAGTCTTTTTAAGTGGAATCAATTTGTACATGTTTTTTGAAGGAAGTTAAAATTTTAGATTGGTAAAGCAAACAATTTGTAGAAATTTAAATTTTTAGTTTAAAGCAGTGATTCTCAACGTGGGCGCTACCACCCCCTTGTAGGAATTTTTTATTTTGAAGGGGGCGTTTTTAGAGGGGGGCGCTAAAGGGGGCGCTCATCTATCATTTAAATTTTTTTTATCTATAACTGATTGTAATGAAATGTATAATTGCGTAGAAAAAAATACCTAATGTAATCCACAGAATTAAGTAGGTATAATATTTATAGACACTTAAATAATATCAAAATAATTATCTTATCGAAGTTATCGTATATATTCCGATTAGCGGCTTATCAATAGCCGATTCCGAAATATTATGCGTACTGTGTACTCGTTTTAAAAAATTGATTGGGGGGGGGGGGGCGGTGTGAGATTTTTAAAATCTAAAAGGGGCGTTGAGTAAAAAAAGGTTGGAAAACACTGGTTTAAAGCTACATTGAATAGAACAAATATAAGGAGAAATAAACAAAGATACATTTTTTGAGATAATATTATAACAGCTTCGAACATTTTAGAAATCATTGACATATTAGAGATTGGTCTATAATTAGTGTTTATCACTAGATTTATTACCAGTGTCACAAATGACATTTTCCATATGTCAGCAAAATAATCTATACTTAAAGATTTGTTGAAATTTAAGTGTATAGAATAAAATACTATTGGTTCATAACTTATAAAAAAAAATTTGAGGATTCTGTAGTGGGATAGGTATCTAATAAAGTTGAATACTCATAAATTTTACTTTTATCAATAGTTCAAGAATTTAAGTTAAGATTATTATCAGAAGAGATTGGTAAAAGCTGGTTAAGGCTTTAAAAAATTAATCAAATCATATTCGAAAACACATGAAAAAAATCTGTAAAAAGTTGAGCTTTTTCTTAAAATATTTGTTGATATTATGTTATTATGTATTTTAAAATACTTGGCACATTATAATTAGTTTTTTTTTTTTTTTGATCATTTATACTAAGACATAGTATAAACATTTAATGTAGTCATATTTTTATAGGTATGAAATATTTTCGTATCTATGTATTTTTAAATATAATGTTTTTATTTAGGACTTCTAGAAGAATCAGTAAATCGATTTGACAGTTCAGCAACAATTAAAGCAAAACTATTTTATAAATCATGCATGAATATTAGTAAGTACTTAAATTGTTTTGATGAATTCTATATACTTAATTTAAACATGTACTGGAACTTAGCTCAAATCAGATATATTGGAGACTCGCCTATCCGTGAACTTTTAAAGTCAATTGGAGGCTGGCCGGTGATCGAAACAAATTGGCAACCACCTAATTATAGTATTGAAGTTTTGCTTGGTCGATTAAAAAAAGAATTCAATGAAGGAATCATAATCGAACCATGGGTTGGACCAGATGATAAAAACTCTTCTGTAAACATCCTTCAGGTGCGAAAAAAGTAAGACATTAATGTAGTCGCATCTACATAGTAAGAACAAACAAGTAGACAATAATACAATTACAATATGATTGACATGTTGGCTTATACACATTTATGCTTAATCGAGTGTTAACTAAAACATATTATTATTTCTGTTATTAATATCTTTTTTACTTTTTTTTTTTTCATAAAATTTAGTTAGATCAAATGCAACTGGGACTACCGAGCAGAGATTATTTCTTAAAAGATAGTAGCGCTGAAGCATTACAAGCTTATCATAAATATATGTCTGAAGTAGCTGTGTTATTAGGAGCAAATAAGTCGACGGCGCCTTTTGAGCTACTAAAAATTATTGAATTTGAAATTGAAATAGCAAATGTGAGTACATTTAGTATTTGTAACTTTATTTTTAAAATGGCTTAATGTTAAATTATTATAATATGTAGATTACTCAAACAGAAACCGATAGACATGATACGACTGGCACATATTTAAAGCTTCCACTGAAAGATTTACAAAAACAAATTCCAGAATTTGATTGGCAATTATATTTGAAAACTATTTTGCAAATTAAACTTTCTGATAAGGAACCTGTAGTTAGTTATGCTATGTCATACTTTACACAACTCGGTTATCTATTAAAAAAAACTGATAGAAGGTATATTAATAACTAAAAACTAATTTGAAAATATTATATTTTGGTTCATAGAAACATATCAATTAAAAATTTATTTTTTATAGGGTTATTCACAATTACATTATTTGGAGACTAGTTCAAAGCACTGTACTTCCGCATATGATTGACGATTTTCAATATAAAAGATTAAACTTCAAGAAAATACTATTAGGAATTCTTAATGAACGAAGCAGATGGAGAGATTGTGTAGATTGGACTAACAAGCGACTTGGAATGGCAGTTGGCGCTTTATTTATAAGAGATAATTTCAGCTTGGAGAGTAAAGTACGATTAAAACATAAACGTTTTCAAAAATTAAATTAAAATGTATTTTACAGTATGATATAAAAAATATACGGTATTTTATTATATATTTGTTCATAAGGTGACTGCTATGGATATGATACAATCAATTCGAGAAGCATTCAATGAACTTCTAAATGAAAACCATTGGATGGACGAACAAACAAGAATAGTGGCCAAAGCAAAGGCGGATGCTATGAAAGAACGAATTGGATACCCAGAAATATTAACAGATCCGGACGAGTTGGAAAAAGAATATATTATGGTATGTTTGAGAGTTTAATAATTGTCTTTCTTATTATTTCGAATTCTTATTTATTTTTTAGTTGAATGTAACGGAAAATCAATTTATTCTTAACGTATTTAATGTGCTTAAGTTTGATGCTTATCAAAATTTAGAAAGACTAAGAAAACCCGTTGACAAAGATAAATGGTCAACAGAACCTGCAGTGGTTAATGCATTTTATAATCCTAATAAAAATCATATCGGTAAATTTAATTCATAGCATATGCAAATATATGATAAATAATAAGTAATAATAAATTGTATTTTAAATTATTAGTCATCCCTGCTGGTATTCTTCAACCTTTATTTTACAGTCAACATTTTCCCAAATCCTTAAATTATGGTGGTATTGGTGTAGTAATCGGTCACGAGATAACTCATGGATTCGATGATAAAGGTACCTAATACTTAAGTATACTTCGTTTGTAGAGGATTATTAATATTATTTAAATATTTTAACACAATTTAAATTATCGTTTATAGGTCGGCAGTTTGATAAAAATGGTAATATGATCGAGTGGTGGGATTCTAAAACAATATATACATTCAGGGAAAAAGCTCAGTGTATGGTGGATCAATATTCAAAGTACAAAATGCAAGAAGTGAATTTACACGTTAATGGACGCATGACTCAGGGCGAAAACATAGCTGACAATGGAGGACTTAAACAGTCATTCAGGGTATATAAAATTATAAAATTCATCGTTTATACGTTAACCCACTATATATAAATATGTTATATGACGGACGTATTAAAAATACCTAATATAAAGTAGCCAGTAGGTAGTACCTTATACCTACCTAAAACGATACACTTACCATTTGTATTTTATAATATGGACGGTTGTTGTGTATAGAGTATCAAGACTAAAATAGAAAATTTTTAGGAGACAATAAAAATGTTTCATTTTTTAAAATAAAATTTTAATGTATAATATAAAAATGATTAAAAAGTGAATTGACGGTCTTTTCATAATAAATGTTCATATTTTTGATACTCATGTATTGGGGAATTAACAAAAACAATTAATTGTTTTCAGGCTTATAAGAAATGGGTGTCCAAACATGGAGAAGAACCATTACTTCCTGGCATTGAGATGACACACGACCAACTGTTTTTTTTAAATTACGCGCAAATTTGGTGTGGTTCAATGCGACCAGAAGACGCATTGACTAAAGTTAGATCCTCCGTACACTCGCCTGGACCCACACGAGTTTGGGGACCCTTGTCGAATTCTGATGACTTTGCCAAAGCATATGGATGTCCCCTTGGATCTCGAATGAACCCCGTTGATAAATGCATTGTTTGGTAGAATTCGTTGGTACATAGGTCATATTTACATTTCATATCTGAATTCTATTTGTTATTGATTAACCATTAATTTTATTCCCACAACATTTTAGCTGTTTACTTGTAATACAGAGCAAAGTGTTTGCAAAGCATATCATATTAAAATAATAGACAAGCAATTTGCTAATAGGCTTATCATCAAATTGATAATTTTCTCATAAAACTCATATTTCACTATTGTGCATTTATCTGATATTCTGACTATTGTGATAATCCTAAACTATTACGTATAAATTAAAAGTTAAAACTTAATACATAATCGAAATTTATTATTTTTACAACTTATAATAAATTATTTACAAATAATCAAAACGCTTAAATTTTTTCGATGGATTAGTTGCGAATGCCTATTTAATACTAGAATTACTACTAAGGTCCTTTGAAAATTTGCCTTGTATTTTAGTTTATAAACAGACTATCAAAATACATTTAATTTAGTTGTAGGTATTTTCAAACGTGTGCGTGTGTTAAATTATTGTGTTAAATTGGTTAATAAATTATTTATAAAAATTAGTATAGGTATAGTAATGAAAACAATATTAATTTAATTAATTAATTTATCTTTTGACTAAAAATAAATTATAATAATAAGGTTCGAAAATTCTTATTTTTTTTTCAGATTTTATTTTTTTATAAATTAAAATAACATAATTTGGCTTTCACATTTTTTTTTTTTGTATTTATAAATACGTAAGTAAGCATTTAAAATTTTCTCCGTTTAATTTTTGATTATAATTAAGATAATTTATTACAGTATTTAATTTACTAAAAATTCGAACCTTATTAATAATAATAGATTAAATAAATAAATGTTAATTGACGAAAAGTGTTATCTGAGAGGACATTTTAATTACCAAATAGTATAAGTATGACCACAAAAGAAGAAACAGTTGAGGGTAATGACAATCACGGGAAAAGGATTTCCAGGGGTTATTATAAGTGCCAATATACATGTTTACTTATTTTTTAAGTTAGGTTAAAATATAACTTAATCAAAACATAAGATTTAAAATATTTCAAAATATTTATGATAAATCAAAGGCACAAAATTAAATAAATTTGGGTCTTAGCTATTGGTAATTATTGTTGGTAATAATTGGTAAATTAAATTTTAATGTTTTCAGAAGAGTTATAATAATACTTATAATATTTTATTGTAATAGTTAAGCATGCATTTGCATATAATAATAATAATTATATTATATTAATAATTGTTTTCTTCCATTTTTGCCAGAGTATATTTATTTTGTCATTAATATTTAAATTTAAATGTTATTTTTACATCTACTTTATTAATAACTGATAATGAAACTAATTTACCTACTATTTGTGATCTCAATCTTAAGTTTCAATATATTATGTTTATTATTAAAATAAATAAATAAATAAATACTTATCTCATGATTAAAATATACATTTTTTTACACGCACTTTTATGACTTAATTAAATATAACTAAATTATATACTTTAAACCTATGTGTTAACGATTCTAGTCTGTTCATGTTGTTTTTGACACTACAACGTTTAAGAAATATTTACGATTTGTTAGCTTTTAATACACATATATATGAATATATATAAATTTAAAAATAATTTAAAAATGTCTAACAATAATGATAATAATTAATAATTAATAATTAATGATAATATTGTCTGTTATATTTAGAAACCTATGTGCAAGGTTACATGTGGTGCGTGTTAATTTATTCGAAATGATTTCTATACTTAAATTATAAATGCTTCCTATCTACGCAAAATTCTTTATAAATTGAGTTTGAATTCGATATATTGAATGAAAATTACACCAAAATATATTTATATTCAATTGTAATACATATTTCATTATTATGTAAGTTACAGTAGCTTTGTAGTTTATCAGTTAATAGCCTAATTGATCATTGTATTACTTTATTTTGGGAAAAAAAACAAATGACCAATATAACTACCGATTTTAAATCCCAAATGAACGTATGTAAATTCCACAAAATTATAATTTTAAATTATATTAATTCCAACCAAATGTATTGATGACATGTAATAAGTGTAGGATATTAATTACAATAAAATAATCAATAAGACAATATTGAAAAAGTCTCACGTGTTTCATTATGTACATGTACAAATATACAATTTAAAATGTATACCTTTACTTACCTGAAACTAATATACTTATACGAGTTTATTATATAGTCCATGAACTACATTATAATTTTTTGTAAAATCATTCAACCATATAGCAACAACCATTAATAAATTGTAATTTTTTTGCTTACGAGACCCTCAACAAAATAATAATACACTTGTATTTTTTATTTTTGGATCAAGATACCGTATATGATCTATTAAATCGGATTAAGGAAAAAAATTGTTTTCTTTAAATCGTGATTTACTTATAATGGTTTTTGTTGAGGAGAAGTTTTGTGTATGATTCATTCATTAAAGTTATCATCAAGGCCGCAGGTGATATATGTGCAAACCCTGCGTCAACTGTATACAATGTTTAATATGACCGGTGAAAATTACAATACCCGTAACCCACAGCAGGCATACTTGGCGTATCATAGGGGATTATCTTCCGCATCTATAGCAGGGGTGACCAAACAGTTGTTTATTCGAAAACGAAGAAACTGTGATGACCTACCCTATACATATATTGTTATGTTGGCAATTTTAACTTGCCAATAATTTTTATCGTAACAAAGGACGGTGTAGTGTGCCTCTATTATGTATTGCTATCTGGTATTATATACCCATATTAAAAAAAATATGAACATAGTACGATCTTCGGTGTAAACAACTGAACAAAAATAGAATATCAGGTAAAAATATCAGGGAGCTTGCTCTCGTGTATAGTAAGTGTCGAGTAGAGTACCTCATTATATAGCGAATAAGTGAGAGTAATGGATGAGTTAAATTTGAATTCAATAATAAATAATTCATTTCCAAAGACAATAAAGGACTATTAGGAGACTATCTATCAGCCTATATTATTAAGTAGGTATATTTTATTATTTATGTATTTATGTTACTATTAGTCCTTTCTTTTACTATCGGTAAAATATTAATAGTAATTGCTAACAGTAATTTTGATAGTAATATTGTAGGTTGAATTAATTGTTTTTGAAAAATCGTATTCGTATCTATATTATTGTTATAAAAGTATTTATTTATAGATATTTTATGTCATACATGTTTGTTATTAACTTATGAATCAAAGCCAATTTACCACAGAACAGTGTAAATAGGTTCATGACTAATATTAATTAAAATATTTTGTGAATTTCATTGTACGTTTTTGATATTTGTTAATTGGGGTATGAACAACTTATGAGGTACTTTGTATATTTTTAAGCTTTTTTATTTCAAGCCAAAGTTTTTAACATAGATAAATTAAAAAAGTAGTTAAAAAATTGAGCGTTTTTGAGCAAAAGGATTAAAATGTTTTGAAAGTATTATATGTCTATTAAATGTTAAGATGAATAAAGTACCTAAGTTATTCATTTTTGTATTGAAATAAAAAAACCATTGGATTTCGTCAAAACTTTAAAAATTCTTGTTTTTACATAATTTTTATTTATTTTTTTTTCATTAGTAAAATTAGTGGATAGTTTTACCTTTAACTAAGCATAATACCAACTAAATCCAAGTTTTTACCTGAAACCCCCCTAAAATTTGAAAATTGAAGAATTTTTACTGTTCATAAGGTGGTGGCAGAAACACAAAAAAAAGAAAAGTCACACATCATTATAAAATCAATACACTCATGATTCATCGCTCCATTCTGAAACTAAAATTTTTATTATACTCGAAGGATGAAATAGAATAGTAGTATATATACATAATAATATGATAATATTGCACTCTGCTGAGGTAATGTCGTATTTAGTTGGAATCTTCCATCAATGGTCGGTTCATGTTTTATGAGTAAACAAAGATAATGCAGCTGCTGCAGCTGTCGTGATTATATTACATGTTTATACCGGCAGTGTTTTTCTCAACATTCGCTTATGTTTATATCTTATATACAATTATATAAGTAAGTATCCATCAAATGTATCCAACTATTAAAACTTTGTGTTTTTAAATTTAGAGGAAATTGATTTAAGGGTTTCTTATATTTTTCAGTCACACATTGCGTAGGCACTTAACGATGATGTGATTTAGTATTATGTTCGTTGAGATCCGTACTTAAATTATCATTATAATATATACGAACCGAAAACTTTGATTAGAGAAACCAGCGACAAAAGGCATATGAGCATATTATAGTAAAGGTTCACGTATACGTTGTGACTACACCCTCGCATCTATCCTGCAGTGGCTGACGTCACACATTTTTCACCGAATACAATACTGCTGCGCTGTCGTGGCGCTGTTAAAATAAACCTTACCGTGTGCGCGGATTATATCGAATATATCCAATTCGCCATGACTGTTACGAGTATTTTTAAAACGAACGCGGTCAAAAATTGTCTGAAAATTTGCGCTGAATCATGCACGAAACACATTGTACAGTGTGCGGGCGGCGCAGCTGTTTGTACTATTGCGCATCGAGAAAAGTCGAAAAAAGGCCTGTTGACAAACAACGGAATGATGATATACATTAGACGATGACGCGCAGCTATTAAATCGTTAAAACAAAGTGCGTCGCGTCCTAAATGCGTAGAATACGTATTATCATTGTGTCGCGATGACAATAAAAAAAAAAAAAAAAAAAAAAAAAAAAAAAAAACAAAAAAAAAAAATAAAATAAATAAAACCGCACGCGTTAAATGCGTTCCGACAATAATTTATAATAACATAATATTATATTATAATATTTCGACGTGCGCGAGAACAAACACGTTTAAGTGGCGTATTGTACCTATGTACCCGCGGCCCACCTTTGTACGGGATATGAGTCAAAATCGACACGGCGTGCGCCGAACATTTACACACAACGCCTAAATAATATTGTGATATTGTTATATCGCGTGTTTTGCCCGTGCAAATATTTGAAAGTTTTGCCGGTCGGTTTCCGTACCAGCTTTTGCGCGTCCTCCGTCGCGTGCGGCGGTTTCCTCCGCTCGACGACCCGCACAGATGGCGCTCCGTCGCCGCCGCCGCCGCCCTCCGACACGCAGCCGAGTCGCGGATGGACGGCGGCGCTCCGGTCGATACATGCGAACGGACGCGCGCGCGGCACCTTTATAAAAACCTCGAACTCCGAGTCCTCCGTCCGCAGATAATATGTAGCCGCGTCCCGTCCTACCGCTGCGACAGATCCGATCGCTGGATCTCTCCCGTGTCCGAATAATAATTGTTGTTGTTGTCGTTTTGAGTGAGCGCGGATATAACATACATGGTACCTGGTTTCCGGGTACCTGGCCGCCGATGTCACCATCACTACCTCCACCACCACCACCGCTACCACCAACACCGCCACCATCGACCGCCGCCGCCGCCGTTCATCCCCTCGTAAATCGTGTGTGTTTACGCAGAAATCACGATACGTTTTACCCGCGTTAACCACCCCCACTACCGGTCGGAACCAAACGTCCGCCACTACCTATACGCATATATACACGATACATAGTCGCCAGTGTTCCACGACTTATAAATCGGATCTGTTGGAAAGAAAGGTACCATCGACGTCACATTATAATATATTTTGTACATAATATTCATTAATATATCACTATATTTTTTATCACTCGTTTACGAAATTTTGCACTATCGTTTAACGTATGTATATTATTAGGCCTAGGTACAGTAGCGTGCCCCAGTAAAAAACCACGGGAAGGGTGAGGGAGAGAAATCAAGTGTTACAAAGATCGAAATCATAACCTAATTATTTGTTTTTACACAAGTTTTAAAATTCATTTTTGAAACAAACTGTAGGTACACTCACTTATTTATTGTTAAATAATATTAAGTAGGTATATAAGAGTTTATTAAAAATAGGATTCTATAACTTGTTTGAATCAATACAATGCGATGATAAACAATTCTGTACAATTATAATTTATTATTGTTATTATTATATATTTAAAAATATAAATGTATTTTAAATGCATTCATTCTTTATTTTAAACGATTTTTAAGATGTCTATTGTTAGTTTATTTTTACCAAAAGTATAATTTTGTATAAATTTCAGGATTAAGAGTACCCACTCCTTTAAATTTACTCCTCTATAATTACGCTACTAGGTATATACGTGAATTTGTAGGGTTGTCACTGGTTACAGTAGCCACACTTTAAAATATAGACAATAAATTAATAACCGGATCGCGGTATGCTTATGTATAATTAAACTTAGATTGCATGCGATTTAAACTAACGATAATAATATTTTATTATATAGGTATATTAGTGTAGTTTTCACTAGCTGCTGTCAATAAAAGTCTCCGTGACGACGATTTGTTGTGGAATAACTATACATTATAATACATGTATCATATAATTTTTTGGCTATACGTGGGTCGCAGGATTACATATTTTATATTTGCACGTCGTTTTTGTGCCTTAAAGTTATAGGAATAATAATAATAATAATATGAATTATATTGTAATGTTTACGGAGTGTGTATAGATATAATTTTTGATATTATTAATATTATACGTACCTATAAGATAATTTTTTAATGTATCAATTACCACTACCCTGCACTTAAAACTGTAAAAATACGTATTAAAATATTACAATACCTACCTCATAATAAATAAATCAATATTTTTAAAAATTTTTGTTTCATTTAAAAATTTAAGTATTTAGTTTTTAAATTATTAGCTTACAGAAATTAATTATTTAAAAAACAAATATGTTTAGAACAGAGTTATTGGCTTATTTTTTTTTAACATGAAAAGTATACAGTTTAAAAGCTAGAGTATAAATAATAATACATAGGTAGACCATTTAGGAAAGTACTTCGTCAATTTAGTATTTTAATTATATACTTTGTTACATAGTGAATATTACTTATTATTTCATTAATAATCAATAAAATAAAGTCAGTAAAGTGTTTCAAATTATATTTTACTACTTTAAAAATAAAATTTTATTTATTCATTGGAAAACTTATGTTTTTACTTTTTTCCTTTATTGATGTTAGTTATAGTATATTATATATATTATTTATTAAGGATAAGTATGGTAAAACTTTATGACATATTTTTTTAATCATATTATATCATTATATTTTATATAGAATATATTAGACATGGTCAATTATATTATCTAATGATTGATTATTATTCATCTAGTTTAGTCGCTAAATATAAGCAATTATTTAAAGGTTTAATCAGGGAGCTTTCAAATTTTACAGAATTTATAAAAGTTTTCTACCTTTCAATGAGTTACTTTTTTTATGTATTGTACCATATAAGTGCATATTTTTTTTCGAGTTTTCAAATATTAGTCTTGTTTAGTTTATATGCGGAATTAACAAAAACAATACATTTTGTTGGTGTTTTTTCATCCCCTATAGGGTTGTTATAGGGTAGCTCACGCAGTCACACATACATTGAATTTTGGCTCACAAAAATTGAATAGTTTGTGTTTAAATATTCGGTTGTTATTCGTTACAAAAATAAAACTTAAAAAAAATGTATAGATTAGCCGATCTGCTATAGGATTCTTTTATTTTAATAAAATAATTAATTGAATTGAGATAACTGTTTGTTACTTTATAAATATACAAAAAAAAGGCATTTTTTTTTTTGTTTATAGTTTATAGACTCATCAATTTTGAAGAAAATTTTAGATATTGTTTTTAGAAATAATAATCGAAAAGTTTAATGTTTAAGTATTTTTTACCACGTACAAAAATATACCAAGTGCTTTAACGAATACTGGTATATTATTCATCTCAACTGAATTAGTTCACTAGTTCACAAAGCTAGGTATACTGATACTGATTTACCTGTGAACCGAGTTAAACTAAAACCATGACACATTGATATAATTCTACATTTTATGTTTGTTCATTTTTTTCCGGGCAGTCAGGTTATACAATTAGTAATATAAATATAAGACACTTCAAGTTAAAATATCTCTCTAATTGGTAATAATATATTTATCATTTAAAACTTTATTTTTAATTATTATACTATTTTACTGTCTTAAAATGTTTATTTTAAACTACTCAGAATTTATCTAAAAAGTCTTAGTACACCTATAATAATATTATACATTATTATTATTATTCATTAAACCTGCATTATTAACATTTAGCGTTGAGTTGATATTGATATATTGTAACAAAGAAATTAATCTTATTGAAGTTAAAAATGTCGCATTTAATATGAACGTTAAATTGATTAAAATTTTTTTAAATGTATTTAATAAAAGTCACATAAATGATGAAATATCTAGATGGAAAAATAATACGTATGTAATATTAGAATTTTCAATAACTTGAAAATAATAAAATTATTACACAGAACTTTTTCTTTATGTCAGTTATTAATCAAACACACGTGCTCTTTATTATCTAAAGACAATTATAAATCGATTGACTTATAATTTATATTGGATTGAATTATCATTCTATGTATCAGTATCAAAGTAAATAATTTGTCATCGAACATTTTGACTGTAGTAGCTGGTTATATAGTAATGCCACTCATTCGGAACATTTTAGATAAGATTTTTTTCCTTTTTAATATTTAAATTACAATGGTATATTACATTTTTCTTTGGTCTTTAATTTATTATGATAATATTTAAGTTATTTTTATATTTTTTGGAAAATTAGTTATTTACCGAACCTTATTTTAATATGTAGACTAATTTAATTTTAATACATCATTGTTATAAAAATCTGTCTAGATATATTATTAGTGTTGAACACCTGATACAATACCATTATGTCATTGACACTTCTCAGATTTAATACTCTAATCTCAACTATAAACTTATGCGATATATTTAACAATATATTATATAGGTGCCTATATGGAATATATTAAATAGTTATTTACAAAAGAATCCATTGAATTGTCGAAAGCCTATTTATTAATGATTACTGTAATTCTATTTAAACGTATACGCGATAATAGGCGTAATTGCATTCGTTTGGAGGACCTAATACATAATAATGTATTCACATTTATTTGTTTTCACTAATCGTAATCTATACCTTACTTATTAATTTTAATTGCAGTTATAAATGCCAGTCGGCTTTTTACGTGTATGAAATATCAAATAGTACATATTATATTTATTTATATCATTAATAAAATAAACGATATGGATAACAATAATAATACGGAACTACAAGTAGTTAAATATTTAAGGCCAATTATCAATATCAATATAATTTGAAGATCGCATTGTTCTAGTTAATGGATTATTTATTTGAATATTCGAAAGGTAATTCAAAATATGAAATACTTTGCTAGATTTCTATTCAGTGCATGCAAACCGATTCTCTTACATCTACGTGCATTTAAACAATTATTAATTCATTTTATAGCTATAATGCTTCCTATTATATAAGGTTAGCTCACCATAAATAGGCACGCTTCATATTCTTAAATGGCTCAATATTTTATATTTTTTAAAAGGACTAGTTTAGAAATAAGTTATTACAGGATTCTGTGATTACATGTTTACACAGTATTAACCTGTATAGGCCATTCATTTAACACCGTCGACTAAGAAAATAACGATACGTTGTAAAATACGTAATAAATATAAACAATGTACCTATATCATACTTATTATGTATAATAACTTTGTTATTATTGTAAATTTTATCTTATACAGTTTAAATACATTTTTTAAGCTTGTCGAGCTCTTCAATTCAAACATAAATAGGGTAACGTCATTTGTTAATTACTTACGTGCAATTTTTTCACTTTATATTTTTAGATTGTATGGCTTTATACACACAGGTTAATTGATTGCAAAACGTAATGACGCAAATACGCAAAAACTATTTTTGAGCGTCACAAAAATAAAGCCATATTTTATTTTACTCTACAAATGATAAGAACAATGAGTATTAATTTTTTGAATTGTCGTTTAAAACCTATTGTTTGTTCACGTATAATGGTATACACATAGTTAAATATATCAAGGATAGCTAACATAATAACAGGAAAGCTATCTATACTATTTTATAAGCGGTTTCATTATATGGATATGGATTTAATAAATAAATCTTCTACTTGTCTTTTAAATTTTTTTTTATGATTTTGAATTTATATCATTATTCAATAACAATTTGTAGTGGTATAAGACGGATGTATTATCAATAAATACTATCTATTACATTTCATTTTTATAAGACAAAAATTTCAAATAAGTACATAGAAAACTTAAATATGACATGCATTTACGTAAAATAAAAATATACACTACAATGGGTTTTTCAAATTTCAATTAATTGTCAGTTATTATTATGTTTCAAAAAAATATATAATTTTTATTAATAACAAATAACAATGATATAATATCAAAGATTTAATAAATAATTAAAATATGAATAATATGCTTTTGAATATCAATTATTATATGTGTATATACTTAGTCTAAAACATAAAAAATACAATACTATTATGTAACATGTACCATTAAACAATTGAAAAAGTGTGAAATGAAAATTTATATTTCAGTGAAGTAAACTACCTATATATGGTTCAATTTCGGTTTTTTTTTTTGCTTCTAGTATTTACTAATCTTTATAAATTCTTGAAAAATAATTTTTAATGCAAAATTGGTACTAAAATTTTTATGGCTTCTCTTTTTGAATTTAAGATAAAAATAATGTAGCAATATTCATAGAATACTGATGAAGTAGTAGGTTGATAGGTACTTTACATTTTTATGAAGTAAATAATATCATATTCTTTAGCTGTGTATAACATAATTTGGCAGAAAATGATATGGTATATTATAGCCACCAAAAGAGACTGTTCAATTACTCTAGATATTTTTGTCATCACTTCCTATTAAAGATTTGTCAACTTACATAATTTATATAGATACCTTTATTTTATTACAATTCACATTTATATTTATTTGATTTTAAAATAAAGGTATAAATTAAGCAAATGCATGAAAATATTTTACATTTACAATAATCAATATTCTATCTGTATTTAGATTAATTTTCTACACATTAATAATTATTATAAATGCCTAGTGGATAATGCTAGCTTTGGAAATTAATATGCGTTATTACCAATTATCATTATAACTTAACATCTACATTATATTTAAATAATTTCCTTTTTTTAAATACTAAAAAATTATTTTCTCGTTAAATATGTTATGTAGTTGTTAAACCACACCATGTTTTCAGTGTAATGTACTTTGGTCAAACAATTACATAATTGTATTTGTTTTATGATAATATAATATTATATTATATATTATAGTTTACTATAGTACATGTATAATTGACAGGTACAATCACAGACTAATAGACTATATACTTAAATAGTTTATGGCATGATGTTATCTAATACGTAATTTTGTATAGTACTATGTCACGATAAAGAAGTCATAATTTATGTTTATATATTTTTTAATTATTTTATTAATTTAATATTAATAATGATTGATTCAATACGTCATATTATAGTCATTATAAAACATATTTGAATATTCCTGGAATTGTAAATTATTTATTAGAGGGGTTTTATAATATTAAATATTATTATACAAAAAAATAATATTCATTAGTAGCATTAATATTCATAAATTTAGATGTATAATATGCAGTAATAAAAAATATTATTTTCCAGCAATCAGATGTTAAAATTGTAAATATTGCTTAAACTTACCAGATATGACTATATTATTGGTAGTTACGTTATAATATATATTATTATATCGATAAGTGCTCTTATAATTTATTATAATTGCTGAGGCTACGTGACATTTTAGACAAATATCAAGTGATTAGTTTAAGTGGAATATTTTTATCATATTATGATTGTTCTTAAGGTATAGACTATAGATAAAGTGTAAAAATAATATCTATAAAAAATCTAAATTGCTAATTTATGTTTGATTTCCAACTAACATTAATATAATAATTAATAAATATAATGATTAATACAAATACAAAACTATGTTTAAATAAAAAAAAAAACAAATAATAAGCAAATATGTTATACAAATTAGCTAATTAGATTTTGATAGGTATTAAGTTAACACGTTAACTGTATTTTTAATAAAAGGTTATTAAATTAATCTATTTTATTTCATTATATGTTAAAAATGTACTTTATATTTATCTAGTAAAGGAATATGATATGACAATTAAGGCAGTTAAATTGTGTAGGTATTCAATAATTAAAAAAAAAAAGAAAAAATTTAACCAGAAAATTTTTTTGCTAATGGATTTATTAGTTTATTTTCGTAGGTATTTTTTAGATATTTATTATTCTTTCATATCATAAAATATCAAATATTTATGATATGAAAAAAATCTATTATTTTTCCAAGTAAAACTGTATTAATGTTTGAACATAATTGAGTGACTAATAATGGATTCTCAAAAAATTATAAAAAAATATTTTTTTATTAAATTTAGTATTTACACTAAAAATAGTAGATGTTGTATTTATATTATTATTATTGTACATATATAAGTATATAACACACTTCCAGAAAATTTCAAAGTTCTATTTTCATATTTTATTATATATTTGTTAATATTTTCCATATAATTTAAAATTTAAATAAAACATTCCACCTAAAATGTTAAAAATGTTTTCCTTCAGACAACTAGTATAAATATTACAAAAAAAGATGGCAAGTGGATATCGTTTTACTGTATATTTTATGTCAAATGTGTCACTGTGTGTTATATTTTAATTCAATGATATAATATCGCTATATAAATATAAATACGAAAAACGTTTCTGAGCGGAGACAGTCTGTTAGTCTATATCACTAAGTATGATTTCATGTTATGTATTTTGAAGATTGAACCATTTTATCAACTACTTATATAAACAATAAAAAATCTATATATCGTTGTAAAATCAATGCATTTATTTTTCTGCTCAAAATTTAGTATTGAACAAATAATTTTTATTAAATAACATACATTCTTATATTAATGACGTATTTATATTGAACAAAAACTAAAACTGATATAATTATTATTTAATCATATGTCAATCCGTTTTATACATAAAGTATATATTTTTAATTATCATTTTATATTATATTACTAAACATAATTATTGTTGGAGTATTTCAAGCTAATTATTGAAATGTACATATTTTAGGTTAAAATGTCAACGATATCAAGTTTTTGTGATATTTTGATGGTAAAAGTGGTTGGAGACCCTGATTGGAGGCAAAGATTTGTCGTGCTCAGCAATAGTACACTATGGATTTATGGGTAAGCACTAAGATAGTAAAAATTATAAATGAAAGTAATCTCAAACGTATATTAAATGCATACTTGTAGAATTATTACTTTAACAGAAAACTGTCATTATTTTTAAAAGTATTCAAAATCAAAAGTTGATAGTAGGTTTAATAACAACAAAAAATAACAAATATCTCTATAGAAAAACTAATTTTAGTGAAGATGGTCAGTCAGCCTATATTTCTAAGGGTATTCAATTATTATATAATTATAATTTTACAAAAAATTTAGTAAATTGAACTATGTTAGCTTTAATTTCTGATATATTTTTTTATAAATATCAACTTCAAAATAATTTTCAAATTTTGATTTTGATTGATTTTGTTAAAATTAGAATGTAAAATGTTTATAAAAAAATTGGGAGAATGTAAATGTATTTTGATATTTTTATAAAGTGTATTAACAACTAATGAGGAATTTTGTATCAACTTTTAAAGTTTTTTTACAAAAAACAAATATTCTATCATTTATAAATCGAAAAAAGCAAATATTTTGAAAGCCATATCACTTCTAATAAATTCTAATACAAAGTTATACAGCTCTTAATTCTTAAGTTACAAATTAAAAAAAAAAATCAATTTTGTTAGAAACTTATGAATAAAATTCTAGTTTATTCCAATTATTTTGAAAAGTACTTGGAATTTTTTACTTTTGGTCCTTTAAAATACCAATTATATTCAATTTACTATTAGAAACACACAGAAAGTTGAAATTCGAAATATTTTTACTTCTCTTCAAGGTAGCGTAAATATAAAAAATTACATTATTATAGAACTAATACATTAATTTGTCGATTCAGAATCTAAAAACTTAAAAAAAAAAAATAATCAGATCATGTAAAATTTTAGAATTGCACGTAGATCTCTATAATTTTCCAAGTATAGTAGTTTCAAAAACAAAAAAAAAATCTTTTGAAATAATGAGCGTTTATAGTTTAAATAATCACTTTATATAATGTTCAAAAATATATCTTTTATTTATAGGGATGATCAAGATCCTCGAAGGACAAAAATTCACGCAGTAAGAGACCTAGCAGTATGCCGAAGAATTTGTGATGGAAGTCACTTAGTCTTGCATATTAAAAACATAGCTAAATTGGATTGGTTTAAGATAAAATTTAACACAGAGAAACAACTAATTGCTTGGAAGAAACGTATGCGACAAGTAAAAGAAGCTTGGAACGAAGAGACTTATTTTCAATACCTTAATCAAAAATCTCAGCTCAGATGTAAATTGATTATTTTATATCTTAATTTAATAGTATGTTGATTTTTAAATTAAAATTTCGTTTTTTCAGCTCCATATGAACCGTTAACTAGGATAAATCAGCAGGTATGACGATCATTTTTACGTATATAGTTTATATTTTATATATTTAGTATTTTAATGTGTATCTGGATAATAGATAAGAAATATTTAAATGAAATTTTGTTATACAGTTTTAAAACCATCTAAATAAATTCTATAGAGATATAAATACAAATATTTTATTATTCATATTAATTGATTTATTTATAAACGTTCAGGTGCCCAGTAATAAACTATCAAAACCTCCACGCTTGCCATTTTCTAGGAGCCGTTCACTTCAAGAAATAATAAGTTGGGAAAAGTTACCCATGACACTTATTCAAGTAAATAAGGGTGAGCTAATTAAGTTAAATTAATAATTTGCATTAACACCTCGCATAATGCACATACAAATATTTACACTTGTTATTATGATTTTTATTATAAGTTATACCTAATCTCAAATGTTTCTTTTAGAAATGCTTTGTGGAATAAACGATATATACTCAATTTTAGTCAGAGTTCGATTATCAATCCTAGAAAACGAAATGGCTTACAATAGAGAAATGGACAAAATGTTAGTCGCTTTTAAAAAACGAGCTTTATGGCCTGATTATTTCCTAATGGACGACAAATCGTTAATTGAACAAACGCTATCTAAATGTGAGTAAGAGTTTATTTTAATTAATAAAAATTCGTAATCGATACATTATTATTATAATGGAAGGAGTTTGGTTTATTTTTTAGTAAAGGAAAGTTCAGACACTCTTTTGCACGACGTCGAAGATATGTGGCCAGATGCTCCTATGGTATTACAGAGTTTGGATGATCTAGCCGATCTATTAATTAAACACTTGAAATCAGTGGCAAGGACCCGAATGATTACATATTGCCATCTTTTACGGGATTTTAGGCCGTTTTTACGCAATAATTTGTGAGTAATAGATATAGGTAGATTTAAGTGATGTTGGCTTGTTCAAATTATAACCAACCACGAGGAAAATATGTATTATTATACGTATAATCTATGTTAGGATTGTTGCACGATTAATGTTAACTATAGGATAATGTAATCATTAGATGTTAAATATTAAATTTAGGAAAGTACAGTTAATGCATTTGTTTAGTATTCAATATACTCAAAATTTACAACCATGGATAATGTGAATCGTTTTAATATAATTAATGTGCTTTTATCATCGTGATTTTCGAACATAGCTTCATACTATCTATAACCTTTATCATCAATGAACAATATTTTTACCAAAGACTTGAAAGACTAGTTGAAAAAATTATAGTAGTATAAAGACAAAACTGATGGGTCTATCCTTTTATTTATTTTTAATCAATATCTATAGGACCTTATAAATACCTAGTAAATTTCGTTTTCATATATGTATATAATATATGTGACATTAAATTAGTATGTTATAGCTTATGATTATATCGTGACGAGGTGTAATTTAATAAAAAAATAATAATTAAGAATGCATTTTATTTTATCATGTAAATTTAAAAAAAAAACTTAATTTTAGTCATAAGATTAACAATATATATACTCTTAATCAAATAAATAGTTTCATTAAAATTTATACCTTTGCACGTAATTCGTCACAATCATAATAATTAATAATACGTGTAATATTTGATTACTTTAATAAGTTTATTGCAGTTTAATCTGGCTAATTTCCGCATTATTTGTCTGTAAATATCGAATGAATTTTAAATTAATATCGATCTTTTTATCATCATCTAGAGAGAGCGTGGACGACATATACGCAGACGTGTACAGCGAACACTTTTATATGGAACGAGCGCTTTTGCCAATCTTCCGGGTGTATAAGTTAAAAGGCATATCTAAAAAGTTGGCGGTCATGTTATCTACTGAGAAAGACATCAATAGTGCACGTTGGAACAAGCTTTTCGACCTGTGTCAAGAGGTACGTGTGAAAAGTCAATTAATCGTATTTAAAATGTATATCATCATAATATTGTTTAATACATTGTCTTGTAAACGATATAATATACACAAATACATAAGATATATCACTCGAAACTCAATCCATTGTTGGTTGTTTATGAGTTTATAACAAATTCGATTATACTTAATTGCATTTTTTTCTTCTTTTCTTATATCGAATAAAAATCCGATCGAGGTCAATATCGATTGTAGACATAATCCGCTATGTTTACTATCTTTGTATATATCATTTTTTCCAATAAACTATAAGTAGGCATGTACTCGAATACGGTGTGCTATTATATTAAATTAAATGAGTATAGTGTGACGAATAATGACGTAATTTATTTTTAGTTATTAAGATGTCTGCAGAATATGTGTATAATATATGTTTGCAAAATGTTATTGTATAGTAATACGTACTCAATGATTAAGTTTTTAAGCTCTGCTTTTGAATTGTACTTTGTACAGCTCGTATTATTTAGCTAAAACTTAAATATAGTAATTGTTTTAATAATTACATATTTGATTAAAATGATTAAATATCTTAATTTTAATTGTTATTCAATTTTTATCAGTATTTTACAGTTAACGCGTATCTAATAATTTTTATTCATATAAATTAATAAGATATTAATAAAATATTTTTAATATACACCCACAAATATATGATTTAATTATTGAGTACTAATTGTTGCGAAAACAATTTGACGTTTACAAGAATTTAGAATTAATATGTATTTTAATCTTTAAGATACTCTAAGGTAACCTGTGTTAATGACGACATCATCATACATTTTTGTCTTTATTAATATTTATATCTATTATAAGTTTTTCTCGTGCATTTATTACATGTCATAATAATAAAATAAATAGCTTCACATAAAAATAGTACGTAATTGTACATACACGCTTGCTCTAAAATCTTTTATTACATACACGTTTGCATACACGCAGTACATCTACTTATTAAACATTTCACTATCATATTTTTATTCTAAAGGTGACCTAGCCGGGCTATAAATTCGGTTGATATATTTTTGAGTCGTACATCAATGAAGAAAAAAATACATTTTGAATTCATATATCTCATACATTTATCATAGAATTTTAAGTAGGTAATCTATGAATTAAGTACCCCATTAATATGAAAAGTATTAAATTTTTGCTGATTATTTAGAATAAGTAGATATTAAAAAAAAAAAATCAAATAAAACCATATCTATTGAAGAAAATGTAGTCAGATTAATAATTTTAATAGTATTTATCTTGTAATGAAAAATCAAAGTAGTCTATAAAAAATAAATATCAATGATTTGCATGGAAATCGTATACAAATACATCGTAATATAATACAAGTATTTCATGTAGGATCCTGGATCCGTGACAATATTATAATATTAAAAGTATTGAAATCGGATACAGCGTCATTCACCATTGCAGTTGGTTACGCATGAAAAAAAATACGATGTTCAAAACGGTTAAGTATCCGTTCATATTTCTTTGTAACTCGTCTAGATGACTAGATATAATTATACGGGGTTCTTCGATTTTGCTGTCCTTATCCATTGATATATTTATTTTGTTTTTTTTTGTTTTTTGACAATAATACATTTTTGAAATATTTCACTGTATTACGAAGAGTCACCATATCACTCAAATATTATTGTTTTATTCTTATATCGCTTATACTTTTATTTTCATAATTCAAAAAAAAAAAAAAAAAAAAAATTAGTGACATTTTTGATGTTTGCGCGTTTCTAAAAAAAGCAATCCGAAATAGCCAATTTATTAGAGTAATTATTATAGGTTTTTAGATAATATACTACAGGTTGTAGTTATACGAACATCTAGTTCGGTCAGAAGGTGACGTGTACTAGGTATTATGTTACTATACCCATATAATATAACGTTTTGCACTTATCTTATATGATTTCGGGTGCGCACATCCTCTTAAAAAAACCTTGTGCGTAACCTTGTTTAACGGCATAGAACACGAGAGTGGGTTGGATTGGGCTGTAGGCGTTGTTTGAACTAGTATATTATTGCGTGTATTGCATCGCGTTCAAAACGTTTATGCTGACCACCCTCGTGCCTGCGGTGCATCCGGTGCAGGTGCAGGATATAAGTAACGACGAGTTTATTCACGTATCGTTTTTCGCGTGTAATTTCAGACGCTGACCGAGACGTACGGCGAGCTGTCTAGACTGTTTGGCGACTACTACGCGCTGAGCGTGACGCAGTTGTTCGCGTTCAGCGACAAGCACGCGGCGTTCGAGCGCAACGGCAACATGAGCCTTTTCGAGAAGTTCGAACTGGCCAGGGAGGTGAGCGAGATATGCGACTCGGTGGTGCCGCTCATCAAGGTGGTGATCGTCGAGGGCGGCAAGCGCGGCGACGGCACCGCCGAGGCCGTGTCCGACGACGTGGTGGCCGCGGTGGAGGCCGCGGCGGCCGGTAACCGGCGCTGGTCCGGCGCCGATTGTTGGGACGACTGCGACAACGGGTACGGGAAGCGGGACGGCGGCGGACTGGCCGCCCGGCCGTTCGAGAGAACGACATGCAAAAATCCGTTCGGCGCCATCATGGAATACGACGTGGACAGGAAGGCGGCGTGCCGAAAGAACTGCGGCGGTGGCGGCAACAGGAACAACAAGAACAACAAGCTGCAGAGGAAGACCGCGGCGGCCGGCAAGTGCATCGAGCTCAAGGTGTACTCGCGTTCCGTCAACTATTTCCACGAACAGATCGACGAACAAGCGGTCGGCTGCGGCGGATTCGTCGCGACGCGCAAGCCGTCTGCCGCCTTACTGCCCAGCTGTTGATGGGTCGCACAATATATTATTATGTATGATGTGAATGTGAAATGTTGACACGTATGTGTGTTTTTAAGGACCGAGAGTGGTCGATAGGAGAGGGATGATGCGATGGTTTCGTCCTCGATCGCAATTATTTGGATTTAACTATTACTACAACAAGAGCGTCGAAAACAATATTATTATTATTATTTTTTTTTTTAAATCGAAAAGCATTACGCCTACGCATTATTATATACGCACACGCACACACACGCACAAGGCGCCTGCGACATTTCCGGCGATCGTCTGCAGTATAGGTACACCGGTACGATATAGTGAAGTGCTCAGGTTTTTCGAAAGTAGCAGGGCATATATTATAATATATGATTTTTGACTGTTCTCAGACCACTTTAGAACATAAAAAAAAAAAAAAATTGAAAAATTAAAAACATAATATATTATACTTGCATTCTCTCTAAAAGTGCTAGATTATTATTGATAGATCCATTGATCGCGTGCGAGGAAAATCACAACTTTCAAATAAATCACACAGAAAAAATTATTGAGTTTAGAATTTTCAGTTAAACGATCACTACGAGAAATCAATAGATAGAAATGAACCAAGGGGAGGGATACAACACGTTCACACCGAATCCGCGAGCATGTTCGTGCACGTGCACGTGTGACATCCACACGTGTTCAGTGCGGCGCGATCTGTATTCTGATATCACAATCGATCCGGTGTGACGTACCGATAATATTATAACAGTTGGGAGCAAGGCGTACACCATTTGGGCATTCTACCGAAAACGTCGCACGTATGGGCGAGCATTAATTCCAAAAAAAAATAAAAAAAAAAATACTACTATTTTTGTGGACGAGTATGAATAGGTTTATACTTTTATAGGTACTTAAATGTATATTAGTAAAAATATTTATACTTACTTTAATTGTTGAAAAGATGAAAATAATCAAATCACATATATAACTACATAATATAATTATTGATTAATAATAAACTTTAAAAATATATTAGTACCTATAATAATATTATAATATAGTTATTTCGTCCCAATCAAAATTCATACAACACTCATAAATGCAAAAACAATTATATTTGCCTTAACCGTATAAGTAATTTTGTGGAAAGCGGAGAGGAATAAATTCACACTTTTTGGATAAATTTGGTCGCGATAAATCGACATAAATACCTAAATTAATAACTACGTATAAGCGTGAGTGCATCTCTTTGTTTCCCCCACTAGGAATAGTACATTTTATATAGAGCTTATTACTGGTGCAATACCTTAAAAATAGCAATAAAAATATTATCATATTCATAATTTAGATATCTAAAGTTATTGAATATAGAAGTGATATTACAATGTGAGATAAGTGTAACGCTACAGTATAGGTACTACATTAAAATATAGAGAATATATTTTTAGATGTCAATAGTTTGTATATAACCGCGGTGTGTAACTGTATCAGTGATCACTTTTGTCAGTTTACTAATAGTAGGTACGGTACCTATACTTAGTTGTTTTATTTTTGTATAAACGTTCACGAATAAGATAACAAAAAAAAAAAAAAAAAAAAAATTGTTATTTAATAAGCTATGTATCAACTTTGTATCTATGAAATATAGTTGTGTAAGAACACAATCGCACACATTTTGTAAACGCCGTTAAATACATGTATACATAAATAAATAAACGTTCACAGAGTTCGTTGTATATCATGTATTATATTGTTGTATACGTACGATTTAATTATCATTTACGTGTAGTGTTTTGATTTAAGATGAAAATTTTTTTCATTTTAAAACCATCATTATTTTTGTATTGTGATTTTGTTAGTTGATCTACTAATCTATTTAAATACCAAATATTGTAATTTTAGCGGAAAATAGATTTCAGTTCAATTCCTACTGAAAACTGCTATTTTACAGCAAACGCTTGACTAAAACCATATATATTATAACCATAATGAATATATAGTTAAATAAAATAAAATTTTATTTAATAAATAACAGACGAATGGCTGCTCTTAATATTTTCAGTATCAATTGAATCCTACAGTTACCTATATTGTAATAATTATTAAATACAAATAATTTGAATCCTCGACATTGACTACATTTATAATTCAGTTGTTATTTAAGTCTGCACTTAAAATGTTCTCAGTCACTTCTAATGTTATGAATTATTTGTAAAAATTTAGAATATTATAATTGTTTTTGATTTATGTCGATAATATATGATTTTCTAAGTTAAAACTTAAGAAGAATCCTTGTCAGTTTTTCATAAAACTATTAAAATTTTTCGAGAATACTTTGAAAAAATTTTTTTTTTATGAGCATTTATGTATTTTTAAAGATTATTTTTTAATAAGGACAATATTTATGAGTATATAAATTAGATCAGCTATAAATCATTAATGTATAAAATAAAATAAAACCATAATAAAATTATATATTTTAAATTATTTGTTATAAATTGAAATAATAAAAAATTAAATTAGATGTCCTGGTAAAAATACATATGATCAAACGAATAAAACTGTTTACTAATACAATTTTTGAAAAAAAAAAGAATTAAATAAATCTTAATACTAGTAAATAGATCAGCTTTCAAAAATTAGTCTTAGCAATAATATTAACAAAAACTGATTTTTTGATAAAATATGAGTTTTTATTATTGATGTAATTAGTGAGTTTTTTTATTATAAATTAATAACTTGACCGCTACTTAGAAAGTTTGAAGACTCCAGGCTTTAAAATAGTTACACTAAAAAAATATTTCATTTTTACTTATTCGACTTTTATGTTAGTTATGTTTTGAATAAACTTTTACATGTGTTTTATTGATTGTAGTATAATTGGTTAATATTCTTCAGTTATATTATAATATTGTTACTAAACTAGTAATAAGTAATACTAGTATTTTCAGAAAAAAAAATGTATTGGTTTTATTACTTTGTTAATTATACTTGAATTTAAGTAAATTAAAAAAAAAAAAAATAGTAAATTATTATATGGAATATCTAACCGAATAGTGTACTTACTGATATAACAAGATTTAAATTTATAAAAGAAAATTTCAAAAGCTATAATTTCGCTTGATTTAAAATCTGATATTTGATTTATAAACAATTTAAACTAATATTAATAATATACATGAGAATATAATAATACTATCTATGGTGTAGTAACTTGTAATAGTTAATAAATAAAAGCCATATCGTTATAATTAAAGTATTCATACTAATTTTTAACAATTAAATTTATTTGTATTTAAATTAGGGATGTATAATTTCATTCAAATAATATAATTACGTCTATAATTTTATTTACTTGGATTTTTAAGTTTATAGAAAAATTTGAAATGCATATTAATCGTAAATATGATATCATCTTCTGTTTCTGTAAATGTATAATTAAAAATATCATAATGTCAACAAATCCTTAGAAAATTCAACCTTTTTGTATAATAATAAAATATAGATTTCGAAAAATGTGAACAATAAATATATGGTTTGATGTTTGCTTCTTTAACAATTGTAACATAGAAATATTAAATGTTTATACTTCACTACTGAGAATAACTTGAGTATTTTATTATGTTATAGAATTGATATGAAATGGTAGTGAATTATACTTAAGAATAATACATAATATGTAAAATATTATTTTCTTTTTATCAAAATGATAATTTTTATCACACCTAGATGAGAAATTAAATTGTGAAATTCATATAAACAATAAACTAAACCAAGGATACATTAAAATGAAAATATTATACCCCTTATTAAACCATATCTCAATCCTACAAATGAAATGTTTTCTATTACTATACGCAGAAATAATAAGATCACTCCAAACCTATATAATATGCCCAATATGAGTAGTTACCTCCCCAACAAAAAATGAAAAAACTTACAATTCTCCGAAAAAAATTCTTAAAAATAGCACTAAAGGCTCCTTGGTTTGAACGAAATTAACAACTGTATAATGATACATGATTCTCTAATTGTCAACATGGATAATATAAAAACTCAAAAACTTCTATGAAAAACTAAGCAAAACTGAAGAAGTACTCCACTACAAAATTGGTAATAGAACTTCTAAACCAAGAATTAAACCACGGTTACCACAGCCCATAGGGAATCTTCCAAGAAGTCCAAGAAGATATTTAGATTTTTAAATTATTATAATAACTATTGTAAACATTACTTAATTTGTAAAATATGAACACTATAAAAATACTCAGTGTATTTAAACAATTAAATTAATTAAATAATAAAAAAAATAAAAGAAATAATAGCAAAATAAAAACGAAGTAGCAATTATATATTAATATAACATAATACAATGATTCCTGTTACTATTTATCCGTAACACTTTTTGAATATTATTCTTAATATGTCCGGTAACTCGGCGTGTAACGGGATAGTCGATGGGGCTAAATCTTGTAAAATAAGTGATCATTGTAGGTTATTGAAATAAATAATAAAAAATAATAAATATATATTGTAATTATTTTTAATACAAATATTATTGGAACGCGAATAAAAAAAAAAAAAAAATCTCGCAAAAGCAAATCAAGTATGGTTTATTTTCTGACTCTATCACCAAATTCCATAGAATAATAATTAATAAATATTAAAGTTTATAACAGAATTAGTTGAATCTGGTTTTATTGTGTGGACATTGATTTCGTTGTTTTCTCGGAACTAAGCCGTACATGTATATTGTCCTTGCTGTTGCTGTGGACTGCGTCAATATGACGTGCCATATTAAAGTTAAATCAATCGTATTTAAATATAATGATTTCACATTAACCTAATCCAAATTAAAAACTACGTTTATTCCTATGTACTTAGAAATTGAATTAACTTAATAAATTGTGTATTTATGCATACATGTAATAATTAAGAATAAAGGGATTTAACGAGTTATAAATTATTTGTACAAATAAAAAATTGTTGTTATCAGATTAAATTTTAAATAATATTAATAATTATTAATTAGGTAATGCAAAATTATGATATGAAATAAGGAAATGTATTACTAATATTTATTGGTGAGCGTAGTTTTTAGTTTTGATAAAGACTTAAATGTTTAATGTATGTAAAATCTTGGATATCCGATATAAATAATTAATAACAAATCTAGATACCTAAGTATAGGTATGTTAAAATAGGTTAGGTTAGTAGGTATGTAAAATAGCTCAGTTAAAATTTATATAAATTATTTGAAACATATTATTTATAGTATTAAATATTAATTAATAAAATTCAACACTGCAGTTAGGAAATTTAAAAATCGTAATATTTATATAAAATGTTTTAGTTTAAAATTTCAAAATTATAAAGCTGTAATTTACAGAATACCATGCATTGACGCTGAAGAAATCATTTTCTAGAAGTTTATTCTAGCTGCACGTGTGATTGATATACTACCATTGTCACTTGACACTTCGTCAATTAATATTAATGTGCCATGCACTAACGTGGTTGTTAGAACATCATATTGTAGTGATATTAAATACAGCTGTTAAAGAAGGTCAAACTAACTATTGGCTTGCTGCTCAGTTAGTTTTTGCTAAACGTTCGTAATGCTTGTGAACATTTGCAAATGACTCGTAAGTAAATTTATTTTTATTATTTGACAAATTTTAGTAAAAAAATATTTTTACCTTTTATATAAAAAATTAACTTCATATGAATCACATTTAACTAATTTGTAATACATGGAAAAATAAATACATTTGGAAAATAATATTACTAACATTATCTAGTATCTACTGTTAAAAACGAATATTATTTAAATATCAATATATTTATATACCTACTAGAACTGATAAAATAAAATATACACAGGATAAACTACTATTTATAGCAATATTTATTTATTTAACATTTTCATTAATTTTTTCTTAGTTAATAAGCTAATAAATTTATACCATAATATATATTGTATGAGTAATACACTACTTTTTTGAATGTTAATAAAATATTGAGCTAAGCAAGAAACCATATATTTTGAGTTCAATGTCAAATTAATGAAACCGTGAGTTGAAGTCAAGTGCGGTATTATAAATTAGTCTAATATAAAGCCAATTTATAAAATACAACAATCGCGAGACCTGTCATAGTGTCATATTTTTTATTAGGCACTGCAATTAACCAAAAATTTTAAAGATTTTCATTAATAATATTTTTAATATATTTTCTATATGATAATAATAACAATAACAGTTTTAAAATGTTGTATTCATTATTTTCTAACTATAAATAGCATGAATTAAATAAAAAGCTTTTGGGTAATGTTATTATAGGAGTGTAAGTAAATATTTGTAAAACAAACTATGCAATTTCAGAATAGATGACTAACTATCTAATGTTGATAGTCATCTATTCTGAAATTGCATAGTTTGTTTTACTATCTAATGTTGATAATAGCTGATTCAAGTATTTACCAGGGGCAATCAAAACTGAGTTGAAGTGTCAAAGTTAGTAAGTTTCCTACGTTTTTAAATTGTTTTTAGGCGGATTAAACATATAATTGGATGTCTTAGTACATTATACTGAGTGGTTGTTTTAGGTAATAACACTAAAAATCGAGAAATTCCTTTTGCCGTTTAACAGTTGTCGGTTGTGCCTCGTCATTGAGTAGGTCACGGTAATGAATATGTTAAATTTTAATTGAATGATTAATCGTTGTATAGACGAAAAATGATTCTGAGCGGAATCTATCTGTGAGCATATCATATTAACTATGAGAATATTTTATTTCATATTAATATTGCTATTACTAATTTATTTCACTACTAGTAAAATCAGATGCCTACTGGCTGCTGAAATACCCGGAAAATTAGTTTGAAATTCATAAATTAACGAAATTATACACTATTTATTTAAACAAAAAATATTTATTTTTTCCATTCAACGGTTTTAGTTATTTTATTGTAATTCAAGAAATATTTATTTGTAGATTTGATACTTCTTTTCATTACATTTATTATCATTTGTTATTTATTACGCAGTTTTCAAAATATTTAGATTAGTTTTAATTTATTTATAGCACAAATTTAATTAGACTGTAAATAAAAGTTAATAAAAGTTTTACATAAGTCGAGATAGAGACAAAAGTTAATAACTATAATAAATATCAAATTATATAGTTGTTTAGTAATATTATCAATTGTTAGATACCTAATATAGGAGATGTTTTCCACACAATTTAGTTCATCTTACCACAGTTACTACTAAAAGTTGTATAAATAAGTTATAAAATATCCTAAAATGTAATTGTTGACATTAAAAAATTAAAATTAAGTTAATTTGTAATAAATTTAAATTTGTATAAATTGATTATTATAATTTTCTAGTACAAAAAATTGGACTTTTTTGTTTCGGGCGGCTCTGGGCTAGTTGAAAGAGTTGTGGAAATATCAGTGTCAATACGTAGTTTTAGATCTAAAATTATTTATTTCCTAAACTTTAAATTGTAATATAAACTTATCTTAATTACCTATTGGTTATAGGAATATTATGAAGACAACTCAAGATATTGCATATGTTATCTGTTACCTTAAACCTGATATCACATTATACCAGAAAATGCTGGTATTATGTTGGGCGAAGACCAAGAATATGTTTTTCTGTGAAACTGTAACGATGACTTCATTTTTATTATGGTTAATAAATTACAGTTGGTGGTTGGCGAGACTTGCAATTGAAAAATGTAATATTGCTTTAAATACGTTTGACCAAAAACTGAATTCGATTGATTCAGAAGTGGATGGTCCCAAAAGATGTGAAGTTAAATGTGATGTATTATATGACCCGGGAATTGAATCAACTTTCATGGACGTAGTTTTTATACACGGACTGAAGGGTGACAAACTTAAGACTTGGAACCAAGGTGTGTGGAAACAAGTGGATCAAAAGCCTGAGCCTGTGGTTGTCAGGAACTCCGGATTATCCACAATAAATCAATTTGAAAGATTGACAATCAACGAGGAGATTAAAGAGTTTACTAATTGCTGGCCTAGAGATTGGCTGCCACTAGATTGTCCATATGTTCGAGTTATTTCGATTAGCTACAGTACCGACCCTTATTTGTGGAGACCTATATGGTTAAGCAAACCAATTAGGTAAGAAATGTTTGATAAAATAATACATAAAAATACTTCTTTCTTAAACTTTGAAAGTTGTTTTCGGTAGAAAATTGAATTTAGTTGGTAATTTTATGTGTTAAGAGTAAAAATATATTCAGAGTATTTTTTTTTTTAAATAATCGGGAATAACAAACTTCCTAAGCGAAATCAGTTAGTGGCAACTTTTGTCAAATATTTATATGATTAGCATTTTATAGTTTTCAAAATATTTAGCCTCTTTGTGTTATTTATAGTATTTCATTCTATTTAAAATCGTTTAAGAATATTTTAGATTTATGTATGATAATATTTTCTTTTGATAGTAAAAAAGCAATTTAATATAAGATTCCTCGTAAGTTGTTCTTACTATATATTATAATATTAATAAAACAAAACTATAATTTTTTTTAAAACTTATGACCTAGTCACTTTTCTGATTAGCCTATTAAAAAAAAAAAAATTAATAGAATTATAGGTTTTAATATATCGATCATATCATTCTAACCTAGATTAACTGTGAATTTCATTAAGTTTTAATATTTTAATACGGCGTCTTATATAGGCTATTCATATGCACAACTGTAAAATAGTAATTTAGAATAAGTAGATACCTGCAATATATTTTATAAGTAAGGCTCGGAAGTTAATGATTTTAAAAACATTAAAAAATGCAAATATGATTTAAAAATGATAAAAAATGACGAAAAATGACCTAAAAAATTATAAATATTTTTTTAAAACTAATGAAAATACATTTAAAAAAAAGTAAAAAAAGAATGGTAGGTAATAATAATAAAAATTACTTAAAATTATTACATTATACTATTACAGCATATTTTATATTGTCAAAAATAAAAATGATAGCTAGCAATTGCCTTATTCTATCGAATCTTTATCTTTACTTAACCCGTATATAACTTGTGTAAAATATTATTTTATAAAATATAAATTTGATGTAGGTACTTATATAGTCTGTTTATACAAAAACTATGCGTGTAAAGATATTAATTGAAAAAATTTAGTTATAAATAGTAAATATACAAGAAATTAAACTAAAAAGGAAAATAGGACCTAAAAATGATAAAAAAACGACTTAAAAAGTAAAAAAAGCCAAAAAATGCAAAATTAAAATTAGTTATTTAGATTTACATATTTATGAAACATATTTGTGGCCATGAGAGCATGGTCTAATAAGTTCCCAAAAAAAAAAAGTGCAAAACGCAAAATGTATCAACTTCCGAGCCCTAATTATAAGCATTGTGAAATTGGTAAACAGTGTAATACCTTCAAGGTTGTTCACGGGACTTTTAAAGGAGTAAAAAATAATATCCCATTATACACACCATACACACACATTAATTAGTATAATATTTATTAACACATTAAAAATAAATTTTTTTTTTTTTAGAAAATATATTTCATTAAGCTTATAGAGAGTAATAATTGAAATAATTAATTTTGCTGGCTTATTGTGTAAATTGTTTGTAAAATATACATAAGTTAATTTTTTTTCTTATAGGTACGAGCATGGTCGTATTTGAGGGGGGTACAAAGGATACAGGTAACCAGATCACAAGGGTACAAAGGGTCCAGTCCTATCCCAGGATTTTTTTTCAATATTTTACAAATGTTTGAAATTTATTTTTAATACTAACATAATTAATATTTGCAATCATAAATGACTAAACTCCAGTTAAATTAATTATTGATAGTTTTGTATCATATGCAAATATTATTATAGCTTCTTTAATATTTAATAATAGATTGTTGATGCCAATTGGCGGTCGGTAATGATTAACAATAATAATATATTAAATTTATCTAAACGAAAAATATTATTTTATTAATACATTGTCGTTCGACAGACCGAGACAAACATGTCAAATCTTTTTTTGTTTTATTTTTAAGCAAATGTCAAAAAATAAATTCAATATTTCCCGAAACAAATTCTGGATACGGCCTTTGGTATGAGTAACATAAGTTTTCATATTTCTAGAAAGTCTACCTACTACTTTAATTTATATAAAAATTAGCATGTTGCATTATTGCATAGTAAAAATAATTATTTCTTAATTAGGTATGTGGACACTGAGCAGTGAACTTGGATACTTATGTAAGTTGGGGTTAAGACGAATACATCAGTTATACCCTATTAAGATATTAGTGACATACCTAATAAGTTTACATCGTAAATCACAAAAATTTATAATTTCCATAGAAATCATTATGTATATAATATATATATATATAATTCCTAATATATCTATAATTTCTAGTCGCTTATATTTTAAATCTCATTATCTACCTACTATAGGTAAATACTACAAATAAACTCTTTCCAGTCTCCAGCTAGGGAACATACTACGATCTGATCAAAATTAATTCGCTTTGCGAATTCTTTTTATTCGATAGGTACCTAGTTAGAACGTTTCCTTAGAGACTACTCCATACCTGTAGTAGGTATCAAATATATTGTCGGCTGGTTTTAACTCTAACAATTGAGATTGAAATAATATGCCGGATGAGTTGTATAAAAGTATATAATGTTTTATATTTCATGATATAATATTCTAATTTTAATTATTCAAATAATTGTATTTTATACAGAACAACCATGAAAGACAGAGGATTGGAAATGATATCACTTTTAAGAAATGTACGTGTTGGACAGCATCCCATTACATGGGTTGGTCACTCTAAAGGGGGATTGTTCATAAAACAAATTCTAGTGCATGGTATTAATTTCATTTATTCAGCATTAGATGAGTACCTAGTGTATCTACATACCTATGGTTATTGATTTTTTATAGGTATATATAAATTATATTGTTACAGCTAATGAAAACCAGCAAACCCGCAAAATTATAAAAAATACCAGAGGGATATTATTTTATAGTGTTCCCCATAACGGTTCTCCTTTGGCCAATATAAAATTACCACTGTTTCAACGATCAATTGAATTACAAGAGTTAGTAAATGGTATGTACATAATATTTTCAATGTGTAAATGTTGGAATGATTAATAACAGTTTTTAATTTTTGTCACAGATTCACAAGATATACAAAAACTTCAAAAAACATTTCATGAAATAATGAACAATAATAGACAAATACAAGTGAAAAGTTTTATCGAAACCAAGTTAACACTGATGAAGCTAATTTATTTAAGAATTGTTTCTATACAGTCTGCAGGTATTATAACTAATAAATGTTTTATATCATTGTTGATTCTGATAAATCGAACTAGAATTAAATAACATGTAGTTATAAAGGTCATTGATTATTATTTATTTAAAAATTGTAATTACTACAAATCAATATGTTGTAAAATTCTCTTATTTTTAAATATTTCAATAAAAGAAAATGTAGATTTTTTTTTGTTTATTTTGAATCAAATAGAATCAAATTTCATTCAAAATATATAAAAAAAAAAAAAAAATCATCAAGTATATTATCTAATCAAAAGTTCACTTTTTTTTTTTCATATATATACTGTTAAGATCCAGGATTTGGAGATTTATATGGTGTTCCATTGGATCATCGAAATATTTGTAAACCAAAAAATCGGTAAGAATGACAACATAGTTAGGTTACTATAGTTAGGTATAACAAAAAGTATACAATTATAAAATTAATTTAAGATTTTTTTAATTATATACCAATATGATTAGCACTTAAAAAATACTGATATAATAATATAAATAAATATTACAGGAATTGTTTTCTATATCAAGAGCTGGTTAATATGATACAATCATTAAAGCAATCAACAGTAGAAGAAATAGAGTAAAGAATAATTAAAATAATTTATATTATACATAAAAAGTAAACAAGAGATCATTATACATCATAAATACCAATATGTCAGTTACAATAAATTATAAATTATTAATTAACAAAACTTTTAATGTAAAACAAAACCAATAGTTCAGAATAATAAGTTATTATTTTTTAGTTAGTTTTAAAAAATACAAAATAATTACAAGTTATTCATATTGATTGGAATTTTTTCTGATTGTTATTTTAATTAACTACTGTATGCAGCAACTGTTTTTATCACAGATATTGTTTTTTGATAAACAAATGACAATCTGTAAAAATAATGAAATTTTAATTACACAAATCAAAAATATTTTTGTTTTATTATGTTTTATGTCAATATAATTTTTGAAAATACTTAGAAAATATAAAATTTTTACTTTAAAAACTGTCACTAATCTATTAATCTGTTTTAAGCAACCCTTTTATCACTTTATGTAAAACGATATTACACAAAATATTGGGTTTTTAGTTATACATGAATAATTTTTACCTTTAGTACAAAAAAATTATAATTACACAAAATATTATTAACTTACTTAGAATCAGCTTTGCAGATGGACATATGGTTTAATGGCAATTCGTAAAGTTCACCCACTGATGGATCTAAATTAAATGAGTATTTTAAATTTATATAAAATGGACTAATGTTTAATTCATAAATTACAAAGATGTAAATGTATGAATATAAACATTAAACATATTATGGTTTATGAAGTGATAACATTAAGTGTAACTTTTGCATTACTATTTTATTGTATAAATATGATTAAATAAATATTAATTTAATTTATGATCTTTAGAAGTATTTCATAAAGTTAAAAAATAATAATTATTTTTTATTTGATTAAAGATTATGTAATAACCAGGATTTGAGATCTATTGTATATTTATTTGAAGTACATGAAAAGATAGCAAGAGTAAACTATATGAAATTCAAAAATATTATTAGTATAGTACTATAGTCAAAAAAAGTGTAACTCATTTATTTATTAAAATTTCTTAAAGTATAATATATAATATTTTTTTAGACATATTAAAGTGCATATTTCATATTTTTTTTAGTGCTACAAGTCTTAAGCATTGAACAAAAAACACAAATAACTGTTCATAATGCAAATACTAAATTAAAAGGTTTACATTTAATATTCTAAATGATACAATGAATATGTTTATTTTAAGTTTTTGGGTTTTTAATTATTTGAATTATTATATTTTTCAAATGGTTCTATATTATGAAAAACTAAATCAAATTAGTGCTTTTAAGATATACATTTTTGAATATTTAAGCTTTCAGCACAAAAAAAGTCTATTGACAACAGTAACAAAAAGTAAAAAAAAAAATATTATATTTGAATGATGCTATACATTTTTTTATAGCTTTAAAATGTAACAACACCAGTATTTTATGCGAAAGGTGAGTGAAGTGAGGTAAGACTTTAATAACATTTGGTATTTATACATTGTATCATGTTTGGGGTTTTTTTTTATCATACATATAATTGTATACCTATTTGTAACTTTTTGTTAGTTTGATTTAATTTTAAGAGTAAGAGCATTATTTGCTACCAACTAATTTAAATAAAGTGCACTCATTTTCTAAGTTATCTAAATGTTTTACATTATTTTTGACTTATTTAATTTTATTGTATCTGCTACATTATATATTAATAAAATAACTTGAGCTTACCAGCTGCATCTTTAGGTACACATAGTATAGGCACTTTCAAAGCAGTAAACTCTGTTGGAAGGCTTTCAGCAAAAGTAACAATTTTCATTGGATTTTCTTTTAAACATTCTAGGAAATTATTATGGAGGGATACTAATTTAGGCGAATCTATAAAAAAAAAATAAATTAACATATGATATAAAACTTAGCTAATAAGTCAAAATACCAGTTCTAAGTTCATCTACTTCTACTGATGGCCATAAAAAGAATCGATATGCGCTGTTTAAAGTAGCTAATGGTGACCCATGATGTGGAGTACTAAAAAAGAATACAGATCTTGTCTTTTCAAACAGTTTTCTCACATTTGGATCATTACTGTTCCTTGCTAAAATCAATTTTTTTTTAAATATTTATTTTACATTTATAGATTTTTAGAAGTAAACATTTTACCTGCAACCAACATATTTTTTACTAAAAGTCCTCCCATAGAATGAGCCAAAAAAATTATTGGTCGGTCTCCAATACCAATAGCCAACAATTGATGCATTAATTTATCTGTGCGTCCCTCGAGTGTACGGTGACTAAAAAACATACAGTTTTTAAATATTCATCATAAAACAAAAATGGAAATCATACTTTTTTTGTTTTAACGGACATGATGGTAACCATTCAGATAATGTTGTACTATAATCAACACCAATTACTCGAAGACCTTCTTCATCGGTAGGTAACCAGTCAGATGGCCAACACTGACTATAACCTTCATTGAGAGCGGTTTGTCGTACAGTAGAATCATTCCTTTAATGAAACAATATTTAATAATATATAATATGATTTAATATAATTGTAAAAATAAAATATTACCCTTTTAATGAGTAAGGGCCATTTCCTTTTGAATTTTCTTTGAGTGGTATATCGTTCAAAACAAATTCAAATTCATTTCCAATCAAATCCCATTCTCTAGCTTTAACTTCTTTGTAACTATCCAAATAGTTTTGCATATCTTCACCAATTGGTCTTTTTAATGCTGTGGTATTTGATGAGTTATGAGATTCATTCTTATTATTCATATCTGTTATTAAAATATCCATTATAAATCCATATAATTTTAAATTAAATTAAAAATTAAAATTATGATATTAATCTATAACTATAAATATTATCCAAAATCTACATTGTTAGTAGAAAAAAATAATACTTAATCAATTAAACATAATTTATATTTCAAACTATATTAAATGTACATGTTGATTATTGTAAATATTATTATTTTAATATAAAACAGGTTTAAGTTTAAATCATTATCTAGAATAGGGAGGTAAACCATTAATAAGTATATATAAACAAATATTTAAGAAATATCTATAAAACCAGATTATTTACTGAAGATTATCAATAATTATTATAGACTATTGTTAATTCACTGCGAACAAGACTACTAAAACCTATCAATTTATAAGCAGAAGATCGAGTAATAATTGATCATAATATTCATAGTAATTACCAAAAAGTCCAAGAGGTTCATTAATATGTAGATCTTTTTCGCGCCATGAAAAGCTAACACCACCTAATAGGCCATGTACAAGAACTACATCAATTTTAGAATCTTGGTGGTATCTATTCTTTGGATGTAATAATACTGTTTGCTTTCCAAACATATAATTTCCGTTAATTGGATCTTCATCATCCATATTTAATAATGTTCGGTTAGCCCATGACTGGATTCTAAAATTTTGATGATTTTTCCATTTAAATAAAACACTGATCCATCCTAAAATTACAAATTATAAAGTCATGTACACAAATTATTTGTTAATAACTGATATATAAAAATATGATAAAAATAAATATTAAGAAGTTTTGCAATTTTTTTTACTGAGTTGATAATAAAATATCATATTTACTTTGTAAATCTATAATAACTATCTATTGAAACAATATTCATTAGACTATACCGGTTGAAAAAATGTCTTGGATAAGATCTCTGTTTAAAGAAGCAACTGACAACAATTTTCCAATTTCTTCTGCTACTTCTTCATCATGTTTTAAATACTGATATATAGCCATTAGAATCTGCAACCCTCCTAATTTTACCATAGCTATTTAAACAAGATCAATTTATTAATTTTGAATTTTAATTACAATAAATAAGTTTGTTTTTAAGTATTTACCTGTAACATTTGTTTCATTATTACAATGGTGACGTAAAGCATTTATGCTCAGCTGTAATATATTATCATTATCTATATGCATACTGCCAAAATCTGGTGGTATATCCTCTGGATGATAATAGTCATGCTGTTTATCCTAGTAAAAATAAATAAATAGAATATTAACAGTCAAATAAATGTATTTTTCTTACTTTAAATGCACATGCCATGAAATACGATAAACATTTGTGTTCATTTAATTCATTTAATTTAATTAACAAATCACGAATTTTGCATAATATTTCCTAAAAACAATGAATTAATAATTATTCAAAAAAAAATAATAAAATTAAACAATGATTATTATTTATACATCTTTTGTCCAGCTTATATTTCTAGGTGGTAAAAAAAATTTAGGATTAGCATTAGTTGTTCGAGCCAAACCGACCAAAGTATGTGCTTGACTCATTTGTGCCAAATGTTGAAAATCTGAATCTAAAAAAAAAACAATGTTTGTAAAATAAATATTTATTTTACTAGAATATATTTACCTTTTAGATCAGTCATTGTAGTTAGTCGTCTAGTGGCTACCCAGGATAATTTAGAATTCTTGTATTTATTAGTTATTTCTAAAAGTTTCCAAGCTTTTTTGTGTTTGAAATCATTCCATTTTTGTAAAAAAAATACAGGAGGATTTGTTGGCTGTATTATACTGTTGCTATCAATAATTTGATATTCATCAAGTTCTATATAAACAATTGTATACGATTAATAACAAGCTTATATTTTGAAAACTTAACTGTATTCATGAAAGTATATATTTTACACACAAAAATATTTTTAAATAGGTATTAATGTTAAATATTAAAACTGTTCATATTATCTATTGTAAAAGTTGATATTGAATTAAATTATTTAAATCTTTATTGAAAATTAATTATGAAATATATAAAACATATTAGAAATAATTAAATAAAATGATAACAATCATAAAAAATAAAGAAGGTAATTAAATTGTATTCCAATTACCAGATTAATTAAAACAGAATACCTATAAACTTTAACAAATAAATGATAAAAGTTATATTTTGAGGATTTTGTATCAATGATTAGTACATGTAATTATTACCTGTGTAATCATTGTGTTTGGTAACTAAGAATAACTAGGTACCTATTTAAATTTTATTAATACCGCCAATAGAAAACTAAATTTATCTTTACAAA